CCCCAAAACCCCAAAACCCCAAAACCCCGCAATTTAAATCTGTAAAATTTCTGGGTCAATTCAAATTATGAAATTAAGTTTTAATTTAACATTTTAAAAATTTTGAATTTATGCTTTTCACAACAAATTATATTACTTCAATGTTAATCTCAATTAGTCATAGCTAACAGGCTTTGTAAGAAATTCATTCATTCCTGATTCGAGACATCTAATTCTAAAAGACTCATTGGCATTTGCTGTTAAAGCAACTATCATTATTTAGTCTTAATCAACATCTTTAAGATTTCTAATTGCAATAGTAGCTTCAAATCCATCCATTATAGGCATGTTGCAATCCATAAATACTAACTTGAAATTTCTATTATTTCTTTCACAAAAGCATGGTTCCAATTAATCTAATTCTAATCTTTTAATAATTTTATTTAATCCCTCTAGCCCATTCGTAGCCTTTGATACTTTTTTATTAAATTACAATTCTAGTATAGACTCTAGTGTAATAATATTGAAAACATTATCATCAACAATTAAAATGCCTGGTCTATTGAAGCAAGGACAACTCTATTCATTTTATAGGGACTCATTTAATTATTATTTCGAAGAGTCATTAGATTTTAAATATTGATTGAAATCAATTTTAGCATCTGTAAAATCATTTATAGTCATCAAGAATGAGCTAAACTTTTCAGAATAGAGGTTTTCATCTTCCAATGATTTTTGGTAATTAATCCTCATTTTCGTATGCTAAAATACTAAATTCAAAAGAAGCTCCATTTTTATATCCAGTGTCCAGATGAATATTTCCACCACAAGCTTCAACAACCTTAGAACAAATGTTTAGCCCGAGTCCTATTCCCTTTGTGTTCAATGCTTAGGATGATTCAAGTTTACCAAAAAGTTTAAATAACTTAATTTCATCTTCCACTTTAACCCCTACTCCTGTATCACTAACTCTTATCCAGATTAACTTTTAAGATTGATCATATCTTACAAAAATTTTAATTTAGCCTTGCAATGTAAACTTCAATGAATTGCTAATTAGATTGATAAGAATCTACTTAATTCTTTGTTAATCAACAATTAGTAACTTTGGTAAATTTTCGTCAAATTCATACTTCAGCTCAATACTCTTTTCTTTTGCTACTAGTAGAAACATATCTATTAACTCTAGAACAGGCTTTCTAATTTCAATCTTTTCTAATTTTATTTTGAATTTTCCATTTTTTAGCTAAAAGAAATCTAGGATGTCATTGACTAAGAAAAGCAAGATTTTAGATGAGTTATTAACTATTCCTAGAAGCCTTTTACCAATATTTTAAGTAACAAATTAGTCAAGGCTTTAAATGAGTCCCATGATTGCATTTATAGGAGTTCTCATATCATGTGATACTGTTGCAGTGATCATTTCGTAGAAATCATTCTCCATTTTTAACTTCTCATATTTTATAAAAGGTGTGATTCTATTAAACAGTATTAGTTTTAGTTGTTTATTCTAGAAAAATAGTTCCTGCTATTTAAGTGTAAAAATCTCAGAGTATTATTTTTCTCTTTCTAGTGAATGATGATAATAGTTGCCTAAAAAGTTATAGTTTGTTTTTATTTCAAAGAATTCATTCTCATCATTTCTAGAAAGTGCTTCATGGATATTTAGTCATTCGATATTCAAGCACTAATCAGATGGTCTGTCACTATCTCCTAGACCTTCAATGTAATTGTTATATGGCTGGAAAATCTAGGAAGTCATTCTCAAGTTTATTAACTATTTGTCTTACTCATCATTGATTGATAGAAGCTTGTTTAACTCTATATTACCTAATACTACTTGATTATTCTCTTAGTCAAATAAAAGCATAGGATTTGGAAGATTCATTAGGAGGCTTTATAATTCTTTATTCATTTTCTCATTCTAGATTAGTCTTATAAATTCATTCTTGTTGCTAGATTCATTTAAATACATTGCATAGATTATAAATAAAGTAGTCATTACATACTAAGCAACTACTCCTACATCTTCAATCTAAAATTTAGCAAAGAGCATGACGATGCCAAGTGCCAAATTCAATATCAATACTATAGAAGTAATATACCAGCAAAAGTTTAATACCAAACCACAGATCAAGAAAAACTCTAATCCTAGAGTAGTTTACATTACTGCTACATAACTAACAGGTGAAAGAAACTAAATTAAGCAATTAAACCAATAGCCAATAGAAATCAAAGGAGCATGTACCATTGTAAAAATAGTAGGAAATCTGTATGTAAGCAATATAACTAAAAGCTGCCATCCTAGAGTGCCACCATATACCAAGTAGACATTGGTATTAAGTGGTCTTTATTTTGCTACTCCTGCTAAAATAATTGCAATGACCATTATTACTCTGAATAGGAAGACAATCACACTTAGAATCAAAATATCTTTATTTCTTTTTAGTAGGAATTTATGTCTTTCAGTAGCGTCAGTGATATTTAAACTAATATTTTGAGGCATTGTAGTAATTATTCCTTTATAAATAATGTGATTAGAATTTAAATATAAACTTTATGCCTTATTAAATATTTAATAAAATTAATCTGATGCTCTTAAAACAAACTAATTTAGGCTTTATGGGGTTTTGGGGTTTTGGGGGATCGGAAGAGCGTC